TGTTGAACAAAAGCCAGCATTGTGTCTCCATGTCCTCATCACAGTTGCCCTGACATGTCTTGATGTCTTTATGCCAAAATACAAGTCTGTGAAGCTGGCATCAGTTTAAAGGAAGAAAGACAAAAACAGGCCTGTGGTTTTGTTTCTTCTCTGCTTCAACTGTCAGCATTTCCTCTGAGCTCAATCTCTCTGCTGTTTCTCTTTCTTTTCAGTCATTCGTTGTCCGTCTCACTGAGACCTCATGCAAATCGATGTGATTATCAACACACCCTTGACCTCCTCGGTTCGCACAGCCGCCAGGATTAAGTGTGGCAGGCGGAGGAGGCGACGGATATAATGGACATCACCAACTTTAATGAGAGGAATCTCAGCTACGGGCTGACATTTTACAATAGTCCTGGTGAATGACAACAGTCAGCTGTCACCTTTACCAAAGCTTTCCAAGAAGGTTGTCTGTAATGATGGAGGGAATTAAAATGGCCTTCAAGGCAGTGGAGATGGGAGCCACAGGATTACGGAGCAGAGCCACGCCTCTAAAACAGACCCATCTGCCACACCCTGAAGGGAAGACTCTGCTCTCTGTTGGGTGCTGTGATCTAATACTGGGATTACAGCAAATGTTGACCAGTATAAGACTGGTTTAGACACACTGTCCCTCACATTAACTGCCACGCTCATCCTCCTCCTCCTACGCCTCCTCCTCTTTCCTCTCCTCCCTTGTTTTTGTGTCTGGTGGCAGACAGGGACAAGGCCTGCTGTTATTACAAACTTAATAAGAGCAGAAGTGAGATTGATGAGAAAAACAGCAGCATCAACTGCTCTTTTAATTAACTCTTGTCCCATAATGGTGCCAGGACGCAGCCACTGAGCAAAGAATGAGACATTTTCATTCTCTTTTTGCCTCTTTTCTGTGTTGTTGTCTCGCTCACCCCCTGATAATGAACAGCCTTCTGGGACCCAATTACATCCAAGGCTGCATTAGGAGCACAGCAGGCCTAGTGAAAACTTCAGCCCAC